CTGCTGAGATGAAGGCAATGGTGCAGAAAGTTGCAACAAACTTCAACCTTCTGGGGATTTCAGCAAAAATCTATTACAGATAGTTTAAAGGGTTTAGGGTTTATAAGGTTTAGGGTTTATAGGGTTTAGGGTTCTAGAGTCAACGACCTCTGGATTCCACAGGAGCTGCGAGCCTCGAAGAGTTTCTCGAGAGCGAGGCAGCTCATCCGACCTGTTTGGTTCGTAAAGGGCCGGGGTTTCCACATAAGGGTATGGCTTGATGGGTGTGGCTTCAGAATTGTCTTTCCTCAGCTTCGAGCAGCCCTGTTGCCCTGCCTTCACCACGATTCAAAGGCCCAGCCATCATCTGGAACTCGACATAGTCCTGCTGCTGTTTTGTTCCGACCGGTATGCATATAAATAATGTGACGGTCTCTCTTTATCGATGCAAGCAATCATGAGTTTCGAAAAAAGCCATCACCCCAAGCCGTGCCATTACCGGCGCCAGAACCGAGGACTCCCACAACTTCAGCTAAACAAGGTAACCCAAGTCACCTCCAAAGTACATTCTAAAGATTCTTATACAAGTTCCAACCCGTATCATACACCTATTAAACTTAAATTATCCCAAACTTATCTTAAGCAGTCCACCCCGGCACCCCTTCTCCGACGAATCGCCAGGCCGACGGCGAACGGCACGATTCGCATGGGCGAGAAAAAATCCGAAAGCTTATTTAGGGTTTGTAAGGTAGTGTAGGGGCATCAGGGCCAGTCGGGTTGGGTAGTTTAGGGGCAGTAGAGCCATTAGGGTTTATAAGGTAGTTTGTGATGGAGGCTTTCAAGGTGCACTGCAAGTTTTTTTCTGGCCCTCATTGGTTTTACCTTGTAAGGCTGACAGTAGGGGTAGCCCTGGCTTACCCATCTTCATTTCTCGTATTTCAATCAAGAAATATCTTTATAAAGCCATAGCATTCAAGGAAGATACGTACACATTATATGAAATCAGGCCTCTGGGAGCCTCAGTTGCAGGAATCGGAACTTGTGGCCATAATTACAGCCACTGCCACAGTTGCAACTTTTGTAGGCAACTGTGGCGTTGCAGGTACATACGCACGTTCATTCAGGGTTTAGTGAAGGGTTTATGGTTTTAGGGGTTCGTGAGAGTTTAGGGTCGTTTAGGGTTTAGGGTTTTCAGTTTTGGCAGCTGCCAGGGCCGCCGGTTCTGTTGCTGTCAATGTTTTGCGTTTTGGAGTGGGGGGGATATCTAACAGGAGCTTATGAATTGAGCTTTATGGGTCTTATGGGAGTAGCTGAACCTAGGGGGCCAGGCTTTTAGGCGCTTGCTTGGGCGAGGCAAGCAGCTGAAGCTGTAATTGCAGACCACGAGCCTGCTGCGAGTAGCCAGACTGTCAGACTAGCGACTAGTGGTGTTGTGCGTGGGCGCGCGCGTGTGTGTGTGTGTGTATATGTATGTATGTATGTATGTATGTAAGTATGTATGTATGTATGCATGCATGCATGCATGTATGTATGTATGGGGGGGGTACCTGAATTCGGGTCCCTGTGAGGTCCCCTAGGTGAGGGTGCCGTAATATTTGGACCTAAGAGGGACCCGAACTCCTCGTATATAGCTCCTCCAGAGAATGACGGCTCAGACTTGTTTTGATAGGTTCCGGTACAGAAAAACCCGTTAAGTTTGAGGAGACATCATGTCTAAAGGCTTAGACAGTAATATTTCGCATAGGTTTTGGGCTATGTCACAGTAAAACGGGTGGGATACCTCAGGAAGAATAGCGGTACTTGTTTGGGCTTCTATGGTTCTATGGCTCTTGAGGCCCTGAACCCAATTACGCGACACCCTAAGCCCTAAGACCCTATACCACCCGATGGAGGCCTAGGAGCCATATGAAGTAGGCGGTCGCCTGAGGAACAACATCGAAAAGGTGATGCTCGCCCACTACAGAAAGCGCCATATCTGAAGACTGCGGGTTCGGGAGGTCGTTAAAGGTTTCTCGAAGGTTTTTGTTCTGAGCTCTGCGGGTTGTACGGGATGGTCCGTGTATAGTTTTACAAAACCAAAGTCTACTTATGAAGCCCCGTATAGGCCCTACACCCGCACATACCTATGTGAAGCCCTTATCGCAACCCCTATGGATCCCTAAACCCTTAACCCCTTAACCCTAAACCCTAACCCATATAAACCCTAAACCCTTAACCCTAAACCGCATTACCAAGGCCCCTACATGTAACTCTTATGGAACGGAATCCTTCAAGATAATCCTTACGATCGCCCCTACACCATGTTCCAGCGACTATCTTTTTCCCGGGCTCTGGTCTCTACGAAAGCAGAACTGACGACAATGACACTTACTACTATTGCTCCTCCGACATCTACTGATGAACCCTACTGTTCCCCCAAACCCGTAGAGTATTTATAGTCACAGAAGGGTCGCTGATTTACCTGCTGTTGGGCAAATTTGCTAGCTAGCTGATCATGATCCGAGCCCTAAACCCTAATACCCTAAACCCTAAACCCTAAAACCCTAAACCCTAAACCCTAAAAGCCCTAAACCCTCAAACCCTAAGCTTTTCCTATGCGCAGGAAGTCCTCAGTCCAAACCCTACCCCGAACCCCACAGCTTTCAGGTACGCCTCCCATAGAGGCATGATGCGCCCAGAGGGCGCCCGGAGCTTTCTCATGAGCCTGGCTCTGTCTTTGGGCTTCTCAAATCCGCAGCAGGACGGCTTGGGGTTTATACGGGTTCCACCCATTTTTGGGGGGTTGGGAGTTTCTATGGGGGTTTCCGAAAATAGGGGACCCCAATATAGTACCCTAAATGGTACGATCCTTATTACAAGGACTCCAAAATCAGGTACCCCTTGTTTTCGGAAAGTCCCATATGGGTCTCCCCCCAAGCCCTAATACCGAACCCAAGCGTTCTGCAGCTCTAAACCCAAGAGCCCTAAAATCCTAAGTTTTTGTGCAGGCTTTACCCTTCGCTGATTTGGGGTTTAGGGTTTAGGGTTTAAGGTCTGGGGGACCGGCCTATATATGCTACGTACTGACCAGGCTCCATATTGCGCATTATAGGTTTCGTATTTCCTGGAGTTCCTCCCGCTTGCAAAATTTACGTTTGGAGGTTGCATCGTCGACGTTGACTATGTGCGTTTCGCGTGCCATTAGTTAGGGTGTTGCAGCCGTATTGCAGCCCTTGTGCTAAACCTGAAAAGCCCTAGCCCAAAGCTTAATAGTCAGGTCAGCGAGCCAGGGAATATATTGATGTTTCCGCAAAATAAGGGCAGTTTACGTCTCAGAACTTGCGGAGATCTTGGGCGGGGGGTTTGGGTTTGTTAGAAGTAGCAGTCGCCGTCACCGTCAGCAGTTCCTGGCAAATGAGGTTTAGGGATCTTTGAGGGTCTGCTGCATGCCCAAAGTACTGTTTCCAAGCCGGGCCCTTCAACTGAGAGCATTCATGGAGACATGAGGTGTTCGGTGCTAGACCTGAGAGCTTGCTGCCTACACCTGAAGACGCGCATAATCCGAGATACTACAAGAGAGCCCAAAACTGCAAGCCCGTTGCAGATCTTGGGCGACGTCGAGCAAATGTTTTGGCGCTTTGACTTCAGTGGGGATGGTGCAGCTTGGCTGCAAGATGCCCCCAACAGAAGCCCAGTTCCCTATAGGTTTTTAGGGCTTCGGGTTCAGGGGTAAGGGCGTAGGGTTTTAGGTTTATGCTTCGGATTTGGGGTTTGGAAGTCTCGTCTGCTGCAGGCTTAGGATCTTGGGGTTCGGGTTCAGGGTTTGGGCCATACGGTTGGGGGCCGGGAGCAGCGAGCGATGCATTTGCATTTTTATGTATGGATATACAGTGATATGCACATGACACGTCCTGTTCGTTCATGCATTTCTCATGTTCATAAGCTCGTGGCTTCAGAATTCGTTCAATAAATCCAATATAGCTTTGCACATCAGGATCCTGTTCTATATATATGAAGGCCCTCCATAAAAAAAAAACTGCTTCGATGTCCGGCTGGCTGGAGGCCTTAGGCCCTATCTGTAAGCATATAGGATAAAAAAAATCCTGATCGCATTTGTGGAAAGCCCGAGAAAGCCTGAAACCAACATTCCAAAGACTACTGGAACCCCACAGTAGGAGCTTAAAAAGCTTCAAAGCGCAAACGCTCAATACTTAACGTCAAAAGCCTTTGAAACCCTAAGCCCCTGCTGTCGCGTGTCCTATGATAGCCCTGATACGCCCAACCCCCTTCCAAACAATAACTCCTATACATTACATACATTGGAATCACAAATGTCTATAAATCCCTATATTATATAAACCTCCACAACAACCATGTAGCACCCTAAGTATTTATGATTCCCTGTATATTATCGAAAACCTTCCTGCAAGCCATGCAACACCCTATTCTAAGTCTTAAAGCCCCTAACTTACCTCAATAGAGCCAGTAGTCCTTGTACTGAGGGTTTCATTATTCCTTAAAACCCTTCAAAAACTCACCCCAGTTCGTAAGTACCCTATAGCCCTCGGAGGTACCCTACCTACCCCTGTCTTACCTGTCACCCGGACCCTTGAACGCGTAAACCCCTAAACCCTGCACCCGAAACCCTAAACCCCTAAATCCCTAATCCCTTGAAGCCCTCCGTCACCCTAGACCCTAAATCCCCAAACCCCAAACTTCTTGAAACCCTTAAAGCCCTTCTACTCCTTAATTCCCTAAACCCTTAAAGCCCTTCTAGGCCTTAATTAAATCCCTAGACCCTTAAAGCCCTTAAACAAGAACTCCTCAAAAGCAACCCTTAAAGCCCTTAAACAAAAACTCCTCAAAAGCAATCCTTAAAGCCATTAAACAAAAACTCCTCAAAAGCAACCCTTAAAGCCCTGAAACAAAAGAAATCCTCAAAGGCAACCCTTAAAGCCCTTAAGCAAAAAACTCCTCAAAAGCAACCCTTAAAGCCATTAAACAAAAAACTCCTCAAAAGCCCTTCACGTGAACCTCAGGAGCTCGATGAGTTGGAAGCCTTCCAACTTGTGAAGTTCGTGCTTCGAAGGTCAGAGCTTCGGCACTTTGAGACAGGGATCCTTGGAGGTTTTAGGGGGTTTAGGGGGTTTAGGGGTATAGGGCATAGGGTTTAGGGTTTAGGGGTTTGGGAATTTAGGGGTTTCATGGTTTGGTATAGGGGCCTATAATTGCCAATACTATATATATATATTTTCCGGGCTTCCTTAGTATAGTTATAGTATAAGATAGCCCAAAACCCTATTCTAATTATATTAAGGCACCCTATATCAATCAAAACGGTTTAGGGTTTAGAGTTGAGGGTTCTGGATACTCAGCATAGGCTTTGATACGGGGTTCTGAAACGGTTAAGGGTTGAGGTCTAAAAACCCAGAACAGAGTCCAATGTAATAAGCCTGTCCATGATAGTATTCACACAGGGATCCAAAGAATTAGAAGAGGGTCCATTATTGTATAGATGCGAGGACCATGGAAAACAATTAGATTAGAGTCCACTATAGTATAAATAAAGGGATCTGGATAATTAGATTAGGGTCCATTCTAGTCAAAAAGATGCAGGGGTCTGAGCAATTGACCGGGGCCCATTCTAGCTTAAATACAGGGATGTATTAATTGGAATGAGTAGGGTCCATGATAGTATAAATACAGGGATCGGGAAAGTAAAGCTAGGGTCCACTATATACATTGATCTGAATCATGAGAAAAGGGTCCACTTCAGTATAAACAGGATACGGAGCTCAAGGAATAGTCGGCGCAAATGATTCAGGGTTTAGGGTTGAGGGTGGTTGTGCTTAGTGTTCGGGGCTTGAGACTTTTATGACTTTGGGGTTTGGGGTTGAGGGGTTGGGCTTTGGCCGGTGAGTTGGGGAGGGTCTGAGGTTCAGGGGAGTGTCTCCTTGCACCCTTGGGGCCTTTGGCCGATTATTTTAGTAGAGTTGTAAGTGTCATAATCTCAATTCGGATTTCTTTGTAGGGATTTTAGGGTAGACATAGCTCTACTTACTTATTACCTACTTGCTAAGTCCCCCGACCCCGTTCTTGGCCTGCAGGGCAGAAGGGTTGCGGATCGGAGTTTCAGTCGGTTTAGGGTTTAGAGGTTTAGGGTTCAGGGTTTAGCGTTAATTCTGGGTAGGCCTTTGTTTGTTGCTTTTGTTTTGCTTCTTGGGCCCTAAGAGGATCTTATTGACGAATGTGTTATGAACTTCAGTCGGATGTAAGTCACGAGGGTCTTCGGATCAACAGGTTTTCAAGCTTACGCCAAGCGAGGGGAGTCAGCCTCTGAAAACTACGGTGTTTGTTGCGCAGGCTGCTTCTGCTGTTGCTGCTGCTGCTGCTACTACTACCACCACTACCACCACTACTACGAATTACCTCCACTACTACTACTACTACTACTACTACTACTACTACTGCTACTACCACCACCACCACCACCACCACCACCACTGCTACTGCTATTCATAATCATCATCATAATCATAATGCTGATAGTAACAATACTAGGACGACGACTGCTACTACCACCACCACTGTCAACAGCAAAAAACTTGTCCTCGTTCTCGTACTGCTACTGCCGCTTCCGCTGCTATTTCCAGGACCTCTAATCACTGCGATTGTTGACGAAACCACAAACCCTAAACCCGAGACCCCTAAACCTAAACCGTAAACCCGAAAGCCCTAACGCTATTCACGTACTGCGACGGTGCAGGGCTCGTGATCGGATGATGCCTTCCAATGTCATGCGCGTGGGACAGCTGCCGAGGCGCAAATTCTGACTTGTAGGGTGCTGCTTCTGATCTAGTCAGTTGCCGTTCCCTAAACCCTAAACCCTAAGCTTGTTGTGGCATGCTGCGATTTGGGACTGTAAACCCTAAATTAAAAAGTTGTAGAGCCTTTTAGAAGCCCTAGCTCCACCCTAAACCCTCAACCCTAAACCCAAAGCCCTCAGAAGCCCCAAGCTCTTAAGCTTGAACCCCACACGCCCAGAAAGCCTGGCCAGGAAGGATTTGCAAAAAGAGTTCGAGCTCGTGAAGAAGCTCGGTGCTGGAGGCAGCAGTCAATTCGGTTAAGAGTCAAGGGTTTAGGGTTTGGGGTTTCAGCTAAAGGTTTAAGGCTTAGGCTAGAGGCTAAACCCTAAACCCTAGATCCTCAACCCTGAACCCTAAACCCTAAAATCCTAAACCCTAAATCCGAAACCCTAACCCCTAAGGGTAGGACCTTAAATCCATGATCTCGCTGCAGCCTTTGTTTTATCCGCTGCGTGGGCCAGGGTCCCCTTGCCGGATCGATCTTTGAACTCCAAGCTTCTTCTAGCAAGGCAAGGTGCAAACCCTAAACCCCTAAACCCTAACCGCTAAGGGTTTAGGGGTTAGGGTTTAGGGTGTAGGGTTTTAGGACCGTCTACACAGAAACTTTGCAGGAAGGAGGGTTAACCCTAAACCCCTTGACCTAGCTCTGGCACGCCGACTATACCAACAATTCCTGTGCAGGAAGAAGGGTTAACGTTCGGATGTCCGTGTCCGATCCACGCTGCTCGCGGCCTTACTTATTGGATAAGCGCGGAAGCCCAAAGTGGGAGCATCAGCAAGAGCAGCAGCAACAGCAAAACAAAGCAAATGAGGGAGTAAGAGCGGGAGCAACAGCAAGAGCAGGAGCAGGAGCAGGAGCAAAAGCACGACCCCTCAAAAGTGACAGTAGAGATAAACATACCCCCTGACAACAATACTTTCCGAGTTTTTATTGGCCAGGTGCGGGAGGGGGTCCCTCCGTTTAATATAAGAGGGAACAGATTAACCCTAAACCCTATACACCCCTAAATCCTAAGCGCTAAGTTTATGGCAGCTTACGGGGTTGAGGCTTAGGCTATCGTCGCGCAATGCTCGAACTGAAAATGCCGTGTCACTCTCGGTTTCCTCCCGGGGCCAAACCTTAAGCCGTGCAAACTGTACCACCCCCCCATAAAAAAATAAAAACTTCCGATAATATACATAATGTATCATATCGATCTCATATAAAATGACAAAACAAAGTATACAAGCTGGACAGACCCGAAGCACTAAACCGCATCCGGCGAAGGACAAGGCGCCGTGTACCTCGCTAAGGAGAAGACGCGGAGCGGTCCCGAGCGAGTCGTCAAATTCTTCACGAAGGCCATCGTTCTGCGTGTAGAGTTTACGTAGGGTTTAGAGTTTAGGGGTGAGGGTGGCTTATAGTATACTGATAGTGCGGCTGGGGAGTTTAATGGATTGTATCGGGTTTGGGTTTGTCGATGCCCGTATTGCACTAACTCAAGCTGCAGGCCAGGTTTAGTACGAGTGCCACACATTCTTGCCCTAAACCCTAAACGGCCGAAAGCTACGAGAACCGAAAGAACGGATGGAATCAATCATTGTTCTCGGGAGAATCACAAGTCAGCAAGGAGCCAAAACACATGTTCTTGGGCCATGGTACCTGAAACATACCACTACTGGCTGCTACATCCGAACATCCTACAACCCCAAACCCAAGATCTTAAGCCTCTTGTACCCTAAACCGTAAACCCTAAACCCCAAACCCAAGATCTTAAGCCTCTTGTACCCTAAACCCCAAACCCCAAACCCAAGATCTTAAGCCCCCCAAACCCAAGATCTGAAGCCTCTGGTAGACCCTGAGGCCCGAGGCCCCGCCCATGCAACGGAAATAAGCAAGCACATGTCAGCGGAAGCCGCGATGGCCCAAAGTCTGAGCGCCTAAACCCCCTAAACCCTAAACCCTATTCTATGTTTTATGATATTATTACTATTATTGCTATTCTTATTATAATAATTATTATAGTTGTCAGTATTGTTATATATTTATTTCTTATAGACCCTAAACCCTACACCCTAAACCGGCCCTAACAATTTGAAAACTCCACAGCAGGCAGGCGCACAGCTGGCCCTTGACGATCTGAAGGAGGCTCCATTTTTTATATGTTTGAGGGGAGGAGGGGGGACAGTTTCTGTTTTTTTTGGGAGGGGGGGGTTACGTTGAGGTTGGGGGATTCATGGGGTCTGGGACCGTTTCAGGGAGTGGGCTTTTGGATTTAGAGTTACCAGTGGTGCCGGGAAAGTTGAACCACGAAGGTGTCCTGGTCATCTTGGTACTCTTGGTCATGTTGGTCATCTTGCCACTCTTGGGCAGGGCAAGAGTGCCAAGATGACGCCCCCGGGTCATCTTGGTACCCTAGACCCTATACCCTAAACCCTAACCAAACCCTAAACCTTAACCGTCACCTTGGCTCCCCACAATGGACCAAGATGCTCAAGATGACCGAACCGGGAACGAAACCCAGAAAAATGCCCGAGCAAGACTACCAAGATGACCGGTCAGGTTGCAAACGTTATATGGGTAGTGCTCTAAGTCAGGGTCCCTATGTAGGTCCCCAATACACCACGGCACCCGATTTAAAAAGGAACCCCCACAAAAGGGACCCTAGTTTAGAGAACCACCACATAGTGGATCCAGTTTCCCGGCACACTGTAGAGTCAGGCTTTCATATTGACCCAGAGAGCCCAATACCCCTTGAATTTAGCTTAAATCATCCTATGAAGCCCCTTACAATTTAAGGTATATTCCTTAATTAAGGGGTATTGGGCTCTCTGGGGAGGCATCCAGGGTTTAGGGATCCAAAGGATTCTAAGGCAAGGACGGCGTTTATTTCACGGGAGTACCTCGAAGTTCATGCGTGTACAGAGCTCTCCGGTGGAGTTTGGGGTTTAGGGCTTAGGGTTGAGAGTTTAGGGTTTAGGGTTGGATTCTATAGGTACATTTTGGTGCACGCAGACAAGGGGGTTTTTAACTTTACCTAGATTATGTCAATGGATGGAGTATATGCTCAAGGGACTTGGCTTAGGTCTCTACAAGGTTTAGTATTCTTTCAGGAAATCCGAAACCCTTTGGCCAGGGCTCTAGGACTAAAGATCTATATTGCCCAATGAATCCAGGGCTCTATCCCTTCAAAGCCCAACAGGATCCTAACCGCTGAGCCTGAATCCACTAAACCCCAAACGGTAGAACCCTGAACCTAGGCATAAGATTCAGGAAGTGAACATTCTCCGATGCCTGGATCATCCGGCCATCGCCCGGGTGCTCGACATCTTCGAGGCCTTGTGATGTCTGGATTGTTGTTTTTTAAATGTCAAGTCAGTTTGTAGAGCCTTTGGGTTCTTGGATTCAGGAATTGGAGTACAGGCTCGGCCTCGGCATCTACATCGCAAGGCGTATGGCGGATGCGACAAGGTACCTCTGTGGCAGTGTCAGACGCGCCAATGCATGCGACGTCTGTAGTGAAGCTCACCGCAACAACCCGGGCCTTTGGCCGGTGCAACCACAGAGTGCAGAGTTGGCATGAAGAAAACCCTCATTACTGGCATGAGCGTCATCGCTGCTCTTTCCATCATAAAGATGATCCATGATGACGGACGGCCTCAAATGCACGATGGTGGCGAAGCAAGCGATACTTATGAGAACATGGCCTACGTGTGTCAGAAAGCCTCAAACAATACTGTTCCCAGGGGTAACAATTGCGCCCCAAAGCCCTTACCCGTCTATGTAAGTTATTCTAATTTATAAGTGTCAATGCCTCAATTTGACGCTGTTCCTTGAATCATCATATACTTGCGGGGTCTCCCTAGTGACCCTAGTGAGAATTTACGTGAGACCTGTTAGGTCCTCAGGACACTCAGCATGTGAGTGAATGTGTACGTCAAGAGACCTCGGTTTAGACCCCAAATAGTATCCCAAAAGCCCAACCCCCAACGTTCGGGTCATATAGAAAGTTTACTCACGCGCAAGACCTCAAATTAACGCTCGTGAAAGCCAGTAACATCTTGCAGAAATTGACAAACACCCTAGGCCTTAAACCTTGCAAACAATCTTTCAGAACTCTGTAAGAGTACATTACATCCTAAGGATCCTAAACAAAGTGTCAAACACCCTTCGCCGTGGACCTTCCAGGACCCTCAGCTCAGAGTGTGAGTTCTAAACCCTAGCACTCAAACCGCAAACCCTAGCCTAAACCCGAAATCCTGACCCCTAAACCCTCTACCTCAAAACCTAACTCCTACAGGACGCTCAGAATGCGCACTAAACCCTAAACCTCAACACCCAAATCCTATAGGATTCTCAAAACCGTAAACCCCAAACTATCCGCCAAAAACCTAAACCTTGAATCCCTAAACCTCTCAACCGCTAAACCCCATAGGACCCGCAGAATGTGCTAAACCCTACACAGGACCCTCAGCACCCTAAATCCCGTCGGGCTCTCAGAACCAAAAAGCACGAAACCCTAAAGCCAAAATCCTGAACCCCGCAACCCCGATACCCAATATCCTCTAGGACCCTCGGAAGGTGTCCTAAACACTGAACAGGAGCCTCAAAAGCCGCAAGCCCGTCAATCTTGTAGGAGCCTCAGAGCCATAAGCCCTAAAACCTAATCCCTAAACCCGGAACCCTAAACTCCGAAGCATAAACCCAGCAACCCGAAAACCCATACCCTCAACCCCGAAAACCCCTAAACCCTAACCTCTTGACCCCGAGACCTAAACTCGATGGGACCCTCAGGAAGTGTACGAAACCCTATACAAGACCTTCAAAACCCTAAACGCCTATACCTCAAATAATATAGGACCCTCAGAGCCATAAGCCCCAAGCCTTAAAAAGAATAAAGCCTGAATCCCCAAACCGCCAAACCTAAATCCAAAAGGACCCAGAACCCGAAAACCCTGAACCCCTAAACGCCTAAGCCCAGAAATCTCACAGGATCTTCAGAATATGCACTAAACCCTACACAGGACTTTCAAAACTCACAAGCCTCGAGACCTAAATCCGATAGGACCCTCGGAACCATAAACCCCAAACCGTAAAACCTAAACCCTGAACCCCAAACAGTATCCTAAAGCTGCAAACCCTCACCCAGAATCCTCCCAGACCCTAAACCATAAACCCCAAACCTCAACACTCAAATCCCATACGAGCCTCTAGACTCTCGAGACCCAAGTCGGGGCCTCCGCATAGGACAATCAAAAAGGGCGAGTACTAAACCCTAAACCCCTAAACCCTAAGCAAACCCTAAACCCCTTGAGCCCTAAACCCTTAAAGGCCCTAAACCTAAACCCCTTGAGTCCTAAACCCTTAAAGGACCCTCAGAACGTGTACCTGGTAGCCGAGCCCTACTTCGGCGGCGACCTTACGGACCCCGCAGACTTTCGGGGGGTTTGGGGCTTTAGAGGTTTTTGGTTTTTTGGGCTTTCAGGGATTTAGGGTTTAGGGGTTTAGGGATTTTGGGGTTTAGGGTAAATCAGGCTTTAGGGACTTAGGGATTTAGGAATTGAGGGATTTAGAGGTTTAGGGTTCGGGGGTTTTAGGGTTTAGGGGTTTAGGGCTTCAGGGATTTGGGGTTTAGGGGTTTGGGGTTAGGATGTGTTGGGACTTGGGGTTTTCAGGTTTAACGGTTCTTCACAGGTCTGGGTTTCGGGTTTAGGGTGTTTGGATTTTGGGGTTTAGGGCTTAGGGGTCCTACTTGTGACAGCCCAAGTAGGCTGGTAATGGATTGCGGGTTATAGGGTGAAGTTAGTTCCCCAATACCCAACCTTTAAACTTTTTGGGCTTTTATAATTTAGTGCTAATATGAAAGTTTGTTTAACCTTTTATTTACCCTAAACCCTAAACCGTTATTGGGGAAGTAAGTGAAGTAGGCCTGAAGGATTTGGCTTTTATAGGAAGTAGGGTTATTTGACAGGTCCTGGTGAGCTTATCTACTGCGGCATCTTCGTAATACGCCATCTACCTTATGTGGTTTCACTATGGAGATACTGGCCGAAGTAACCCTCAGGGTCCATGTACTTATGTTTAGCACGTGCATGTTTATGCACAGGCCTTGAAGAGGTTTCTCTCTCTAGAAGCTCGAGGGCCAGAGTATACCTGGACCCTATAGAACCTTATTCTAGTTTCCTTATATAAGTCCTTAGGAAGAAAGGTTGTTTGGGGTTCAGGTATACTATGTGGTTGCATGGACCCTTAGGGGCATAAGGCTTAGGGTCTAGGGCTTTAGGGTTTAGGGGTTTGTGGTTTAGAGTTTAGGGAGGTCCGCTATGTCATCTTGAGGCATGATGAGGGGCATGGGGCTCTCTGGGTAACGCGGTTTTGTGGTTATGGTGATTGCACAGGTCCTGGGTTTAGAGTTTAGGGTTTAGGGTTGTTTAGGGAGTTGTTGGGGGGTCCAGTCGGGTTTGGGGTTTTCCGTTTTCATCAGCATGTGACCATCAACATCATGGCATCTGCATCATTACCCACCATTAGCAGGATCATCGTGGCCGTCATCACTAGTGCCAGCACCATCAAGGATAGCGTCATGTTCATTATGATCTTTCTCTCGCCATCATCACAGTAGTCCTCGTGCATCGAAGTCAGCCCCTACAATTACTGACTGATTCTTAGTAGGGAATGGAGGAATGGATTTTTGGGGACTACTCTAGGGGACCTTAAGGGACTATCATCGTGATCCATTCCCCCATTCCCTACTAAGAACCAGGGAGATTATTCCAGGAGAAGAACAAATCCTGTTTTCTGATGTTCGATTTGAGATTGAAGGATCCGGGGTCGTGGGCTGTGTATGCCCCTTCTAGATTTCAGTTCTCTGGGTTTAGGGGTTTAGGTTTAGGGTTTAGGGGTTTAGGTTGTACGGTTTAGGGTTTAGGGTTTGGGTTGAAGGATGGATATCAAAACCCCTAGCCCTGAAACCCGAAGGCTCTCGAGCCCCAACCCGAAGGCGGGGGAGTCAACCCTAAACCCTAGCCCCTAAACCCGAAACCCTAACCCCGACACCCTAAACCCCTAAACCCTAAACCCTAACACCTAAACCCTAACCCCTAAACTCTAAACCCCCTGATCATTGGGTATGTGTACTCTATATCTATATCTATATCTATATCTATATCTATATCTATATCTATATCTATATCTATATCTATATATTCATACATATACCGTGAGGGCGCCAGCTCCTAGAGCCAAAGACTCGATCTTGTAATTGTAAACCCTATAGACGCCCTAACATCCTCTAAAGCCACAATCAGGGTTTAGGGTTTTGGGTTTTGGGTTTGGGGTTTTGGGTTTAGGGTTTAGGGTTTAGGGCCAGGGCCCTAGAGCTCTGTAATCCTCTAAATTTCCCGCCAAGAAGAAATCCTGAAAAGCAATCTTTGAAGGAAGCCTTGGAATACCAGGCGCGCTGGCTTTGAACCTTCATAAATTGTACTGGCCCCCCAATATCTCGAGAAGTACCAATACTATTTTGGGGTTCCTTATTTTACTAAGGCGGCTATATTATAGGGTTTTGGGTAAGCCTTGTAGGAGCCCTTATAGTAGCCCCTTCTTAAATGCAGGGTCCTAAACTGTCACTGAACCGTTAAAAATTCTGAGCCCTGGAACCCCCTGTAAAGTAGTACTAGGCCTTAGCGGAGCCCTTATGGTACCCCTTTTTGGGGTGTGGGCCCTGAACCGCCTAAGCACAAATCTAAACCCACGAGCGCCAGGACCTAATGAACAAGGCAGCGAAGCACAACGTGCAGCCCACGCACGAGTGGCTGGGGAAGATCTTCAGACAGATCTTGGAAGGACTGCAATAGGAAGGTTTAGGGACTAGGGTTTAGGGTTCAGGGCTTCGGGTTTAGGGTTCAGGGCTTAGGGTTTAGGGTTTAGGGTTCCGGGTTTAGGGCTTGGGGCATCTTGAACTCGACTCCATCGTCCCTATCCCCGCACGTTAGCCCATAACAGCAGAATGGAACAAGCAAGAAACAAAGCATGCAAATCCAACACCCCACACACACGCACCAATAGCTGCAAAAATAAAAGCTGGTGTTCAAATATGTTTTACGTAAAAACACCGGAATACTTGAAGGTTCATGGGTAGTTATAAGTGGGGTTATAAGTCCCCTAAGAGGGGTTATGAGTGTAGTTACCCTGCTTACAACCCTACTTATAACCCAAACCCTGGACTGCCCATGAACCTCCAAGTAGGCCAAAGCCTACGCGACCTTCATGGGTCTGCAGCCGTAATAGAAGCCGGGTTGATGGCTCCTGTGCATCTGCCACCAAGGGTGCTGTGGGGCGTGATTTTAGGCTTTCAGAGGTTGCAGGGTTTAGGGTTTAAGGGTTTAAGATCTAGGGCTTTGTAGGCCTATTGACGTTCAGAAACTGGTATCGGTGCCAGCTCGTCGTGCCAAGAAAAATGCTAAATGTACTTTCACGACCGTACCATCACTACCTATTACCAGGACTACGACCATTCTTCACACTTCTGAAACAATGCCTTGGCGTACTTCTGGTTGGCTCTTAGGACTTTAACATTTTAGCTATCTACATGAACTATAACTATAACAAGGAGGCTAAAAGTTTGACTTCAAAGCAGCGCAATGGACACGAGCTCGCCAACCTCCGAAACATCATCCTGGACCTCCTCCTCAGACACCGCGGAATCATCCGGTGCACCGCTGCCGGTCAGAGCCGTCTCATGCACTAAAGGCAGGGAGGACTTTGCAGCCATCCGAACAAGGCATCATCCGCTTTTCCTGCAGAAGGCCATCGAAGATGAGAACGCACTTCTTCGGGTCGTCTGGCCCAGTGCGCCGGAGTGCTGAGAGCCGGATCCAACAGACGAAACTCGGGGTGCACCAAAGGTCCCAGTTTCTGGGTGTGCCCGAAAAAGTGGAATGTCTGATGCTGCACCAGAAACTTGCAATAGTGATTTTTGAGGTTGCTCCTAAATTGATTACGTTGATCCTTCATGTAAATGGGCCCTACGTGTGGAAGATAAAATCCTTGTACAGCAACCATAGACATCCCTGATACATAAGCGTGTGAGACCGGTACAAGACTTTTGTAAGTACAAACCTTAAAGATACCTTCTAGAAAGGTATGAAGGGCTAGGCTACAATGCCCGTATCAGGCACCTGAACATTCCTGCATTGCAGTAGGCGGCTGGGGGAAACTATGGAGAAACCTACAAATATCCATAGGAACCTATACATAACCGTGAACACCTTATGAAAGCCGCGTCCCTAAACCCTGAATCCAATCCCTAAACCGTAAACCCTAAACCCTAAACCCCAAGCCCTAAACCCCAAACCATAAACCCTAAACCCTAAACCCCAAGCCCTAAACCCTAAACCCCAAAGCCCTAACCCCCAAACCCAGTTGAGAATCCCGTTGAAGTCCGGGAGACTCCATGAAAGCCCTGCGAGGGGTGGTATACATCCACAACCATCGGATCATGCACTGCGACCTCAAGGAGTTAAGGGGGTCTAGGGGCATTAGGGGGTTTAGGATTTCGGATTTTTAGGGGGTTTAGGGTGTAGGGTGTAGGGTTATAGAATTTTTTTTCGGGGGGTTGTCTCAGGGCGTAGGGGCTTGGATATAGGGGTTTAGGGTTCCGGGTTGTGACGGACGTTGGTCAACAGTTTGTGTTTGACAGGGTTTAAGGTTCAGGATGTTTGGTTTACGGCCTTAGGGCTGGGGATTTGGGTTTGTGACTCGTACGTGCGCTTTTGGTACACAGGCTTATTCATATTTGGGGATGTGGAGTTCGGGCTAACGGGGCTCAAGGATGCAACTAGGGTGTGGCGCATCGGGCAAATAGGGTGTTTGGGTCCTGCAGGAGCAAGGGTAGTAGCAGCAGCAGCAGCAGCAGGAGCAGGAGTAGGAGCAATAGTAGCTGTAGCAGTAGCAGTAGTGGTAGTTAGTAGTCGTTAGTAGTTAGTAGTTAGAGGTTAGTACTTAGTGGTTAGTGGTCAGTGGTTAGTGGCTAGTGGTTAGTGGTTGGTAGTTAGTAGTTAGTAGTTAGTAGGTAGTAGCAGTAGCAGT